TTTGAACTGAATTGGACTATATCTTACAGAGGGAATAGCATGAAAGAAAAACATGGCCAGTCGGGTATTGTTGTTCAAGTGTCTCCAAAAGAAGTACGGCTTGTACCGTGACCCAATATGTAAGGTCATCATGCAAAGTTTGATTGAAAATGCCCTTTTCACCTTTGAACTGAATCAGGCCATATCGCTCTTTTCAGCTCCAAGAAACAGTTTCGGACATGTTACAGAATGATATTTTACGTTTTTTGACAAAATAGCCACCATTTCGACAAATTTGATCAAATCTCAAGACCAAACAGTCGGCCATTTTGATCCAAATTTTGAAAAAAATATGACGTGCACGTGTAACCCAATATACATGATCACCATACAAAGTTTGATAAAAATCGTCCTGTTCAGCTTCGAGAAAAAAATCAGGACACGTTTAAATATTATAATTTAGCAAATTTGAGGGACAAAATGGCTGACAGTCTGCCATATTTAATCGAATCATAACGAAAATTGGCGTGCATATGTAGGTCATCATTCATTGTCTATACCAAGTTTGAACGAGATCAGTCAAAGGGTGTCCGAGAAATAGGTCCGGACGATCGCACGGAACCCACATTAATAGTCCCCGTTTTCGGACTTCGTCCCCACATCCTGTTACAAAGCAACAAAAGATCACTGACATTGTAACAAAAAGGGCTAAAGGGCAGGTGACTGCTACATGTACTAAAGTGGCTGATGACAGTGGAATGTTAGGTGTGAGTGAGGTGGGTGGTGATAGTGGAATGGTTTGTGAGTGCCGGGTAGGTGGTGAGAATGAGATGGTAGGTATGAGTGAGGTGGGTGGTGAGAATGAGATGGTAGGTGTGAGTGAGGTGGGTGGTGAGAGTGATGGGTGGTGAGAGTGGAATGGTTGGTGAAAGTGAGGTGGGTGGTGATAGTGGAATGATTGGTGAAAGTGAGGTGGGTGGTGAAAGTCGGATTGTTGGTCAGAACGAGATTGCTCTGTAAGAGTGTGATGTAAAGCATTTGCTGACAAAAATTGTTTCTCATTTATTTAAATATTTATTTTATTAAATTTTATTTATTTTTTGGACGTCTTCGCAGTTACCCTGTCTGTATGTGTGTGTGTCTGTCCGTCCGTTTCACTGATATCTCTAGAACTGTATGTTGGTTTTCAATGCAACTTGGTGTATAGATGCTCTGGGCTAATAGGCAGATTAAATTGGGTTTTGGTTGAAATCCATGCATATAATTAACCTAATTTGCATAATGATTAGTCAATTTTAGGTTTTTCCACTGATATCTCAGGTACTAATCATTACATTTCAATGAAACTTACATAGATACATAGGACGATGTACAGACAGATATGTGAAATATTAATTACCTAATTAACCAATTTTCAGCTTTTGATATTTTAAGTACTATTACTTCATTACTTTTCAATAAAACTTGGTACATAGATGCTCTAGGACAATCAAAAGACCTGAGTTTAAGCTAAAAATGTGTTTTGCATGATTAGTTAATTTTTGGCTTTTACACTGATATCGCAAGTACTGATTATTCCATTTCAATGAATCTTGGTACATAGATGTTTTAGGACAATACACAGACCTGAATAGTTTTGGGTTTAAATCAGATCATAATAAATACTTGATTTGCATAATAAATCATATTTTTTGGTTATAATCATATTTCAATGAAACTTCGTGCATAGATGGTCTGTGACAGTTTTTATCTTAAGGTAGAGATGCAAGTTCGTGGGCACTTTGGAGTTAGTTTTTTTTTTTTTTTGCATTTTATTATCCAAAAAGTCTTGGCTATAGACTGTTGAAATGTTGGGGAATTGTGAATAGCGGAACATACACAAAAAACGATTTCAAAATATAGATAACAGGTGCAAAATTATCTCTTTTGAATGCTTAGCAAGATTTAGCAAGGATGTACATAAATAATAAAAAAAAAACATGCTAAGAAAAAGAAATGACGGGATCTCCATATTACGCACTATTTTTAACTTTTAACAGAACGATAAAACATTTAACTTTGAAACTGTAACAGCCATTTTAATTATGTGCATTAGGAAACTTCTTACTGAGTGAATTGTTATGCAAAATTAGCAATTATCTCAGCTTCTTTTTAGTGCACATTTCAGAACTTTAAAAAAAATAGCTCCTAGACGCTTTGATCTTTTGTTTTGAAATTTTCACAAATGATTGACAATGTGTTTATCTTCAAAACGCCGTCGGGGCATTGTTTTTAGTTGAATAGTGTTACAGCAATCGTTCAGACAACTAGCCTGGGTGTTAATTTATGCATAAACTTGAAGTAGTTTAATTTGAGCTTTTGCCCTAAAAAATTGACAACTGGTAGACAGTTTTCAAGACGGCGCTTTCTTCATAGTAAACAGATGTACCCATAAAAAAAATTTGACAGGAAACAGAAGCATGGTTTGGAAGCTATTTTTTTTTAAATCACCAAAAAAACACACTTTTGTGCATATTTCAAACTACAGTTTCCATAAAAATAAAATACTAACAAAACTTTAAAATTCATACAATAAGCTTTCCGAAAATATATAGTTTTATGGACAAGGGAGGTCATCTTGGTGTCTAATTAAAATACCTGTCAGGTAAACTGCATCTCTACCTTATTTTAATGAATCTTGGTACATATATAATCTAACACAATGTGATGATCAAATTAGTTTACATACATCTATAATAATTACCTAATTTGCATAATAATTTACTTTTCAGCTTTCTTTAGTAGGATTAATCATCACATTATAATGAAAATTTGTACTGCGCCCTGAAACAATATACAGACCTAAATCTATGCATAACAATTGCTTAATTTGTATAATAATTCATTTGGTTCATTGAGGTAATCCACAAACATGATTAGTTTAATGTTGATAAACATGCATATTGATTATCTATTATCAGCCCATTTCTGATATTAAAATTGATTTAAATTGATTTAAATCGAATTCATCGCAGAGGTGCTCTGGAACTAATTAGACTAAAAAACATGGATTAAAAATCAAATGTATATTCTGTATGTATTATAAATTTTGATAATGTAAATCAAATTTTTTTCATGTTATGCATTTAAAATAGCTGACGAAAATTAGTTGCCAAGCTTCTTTTTTGAAAAACAAATCTTAAATTTTGAATTAATTTTAATGTGTCTCCAATACGCTCAGCAGACGGGAGTTCTTTCTAAGCTTTCTTTGATATTTATTTTATTTATTACTTATTTAATAAAATATGGTTCCATACAATCATTAATGTATCTTGTCTATTATTGTGGTCACATAACATACCATGGAATATTTTATTTGCACTGGTATTTTATTTTCCCTGTTTCACCTGAAGTCAATTTTCTACAAAATAAATTCCAGTGAAAAAGCAGCTTTCTCTATACGTTGCATTGAGTCTTTATACAACATAGTGAAAATTATATCCACACTATGCCAGAAAGCTGTTTTCAGCAAAAATAAATTCCAGAGAAAATATTTAAAAAGTATTTTACAGTAGTCAGCAATATTGCATGCAATACCATATTTGCTCTATTAGTAGCGCATGCTCTTATATAAATAACAGAGGTGTTTCTTTGGTCAAAATACATCATATTTTAATAAATCAGTATACAATCAATGCAATTGTTGCCGTACATGTGCTTCTATTGGAGATGCTCTTCTAATAGAGCATATATGGTATACAATCTAAATGCAACCAGAGTGAAATTGGTTTTAAAATTAATATTGAAATGAAAATATTAATTTTCCCTTTGCTATTAATTAATCCACAAACCAGAATCATTGACATCCATTTATATATGACCTAGTTTATTCTTTATTCTGTGCCCCCTTATCTTGGTAGGGAGAATTGGCATATTCTTATGACGCAGTAATTCAAGTGAATCTACTCTGTTCATAGATGATACGACAACAGCTGATAGAAACATATTTTTCCCTAAGTCATATAGTGACAAATATTTTTAATTACACTGGTGAAGTAATGATTTTTTTTTTGAATAACCCTTCACTTTGCTATTTTTTTTAATTCTGACCTCCCCCTCTCAAAAATTAAATGGTCCACCCCTAAGCATCAGTAAAATGACGTATAAATTTGTTTTCATTATACATTTCCAGTACTAAACCTGTAGTTTCAACATATTCATAACTAAATTGGGTGGCAACGGGAACATCTTGCTCATATCAAGAAAGCAGTTGGAGCTTAATTGGAACAAGCGACCTGCGGTCGAATTAGTTCCTCTATCCTACACAAAACATTGTAGTAGCCAAGTCGCGCAATGCACACCCATAAAACTTCTTCATGAAAACTGCCAGTGAAATTTGATACCAGGTATCTAAGCCATGAGCTGATAATAAAAATAGCATTTTTTTTACCGCAAATGACAAAAATATTTGCCAAAATAGAAAAATGAAGATGTCACGCAATGGACAAATCTGACAGAGGCCCATCCAAGGTACCACGGTACATATAAAGCTTATGTTGCACATATACAGTGTCAAGATTACCCTGAGACATATTATGTGCTGATTGCAACCTACTTAAAGGTTTCTGAAACTTTACGATACTAAGAGATCCACTGGTTTGCAATTTGCATTGTAGTCCAGGAAATGTATTCAAGGGTCTAAATTAATCGTATGATTCTCTAGAAATGAACAAAAACAATTACCTTTATACGTACTAGTTATAAGTATAAGTACAACGAATAAAATACATCACGTGACATTATTATATACAAGTACAATATAACTACCATGCGATTGAATGTTGGATACAACTTACTATATTTTAAAAAATTAGGTCAGCCTGTAACTTCTAACATGTATTGGCTGCATTATATTTTTTTGTAATTATATTTACGCTGAATAAGCATATAAAATATCATTCGCACATAATAAGGTAGCTTGTTATGAAATCTGTCAACATATGTAACTATGATTTCTATATCATTATTTTATGTTATCCGGTGTTTGCCCAAACATGGAATCAAGGTCCATCTGATGTCCAGGTACTTGAAGGTGATGATGTGACATTAAAATGAAAACTTGATGGTGATGTAATCTCAGGGCTTGAACCAAGATGGGAGAGAACAATATCGGGGACAACTGTATCAACCCTTATAGCTACTAATACAGCTGGTTGTGACCTTGATGACTGTGAATTTGTTATTGATAATGTAAGTGTGGTTAAGTTTTATGTACAGTAACGCCTCGCTTTGTTGTGCCTCAATAAGTCGTGGTTTCGGTAGTTGGATGGCTCCCAAAATTTCTATTGCTTTGCCAGTAGTTGTGAAGTAAAAGAACTAATGTTTTCTCGCATTGTATATTGGCCATTAATAGGCTGGAGGAGATGCCTGTTGGCTGTCGATTACTGAGATACAATGTACAGGGGTATGAAGTCACGACTTTGAGTACTT